CCTGCATATGTCAAATCAGGGAGTCCGACAGTAAATCAGGTAGTATTTGACTCCCGGACTCCCGTTAATTTCGCACCCTGCTCTAGTGTAATTAGTAGTTGGCATTAGTTAGTGAGTGTTTGTCAACACAACAGTCATGTGAAGCATGCGTGTCTACCTCTTAATTGTAACTGCATTTAGTTCACCCATCATGCACACGCAACTTATCATTGGTGGGAACCTATAGTTAAACGTTGATGGTATCCCAACTTGAAATGATCGCACTCCATATGCCACATCTGTGTGCGCACTTGTACAGTGCAATCACTGCTAACACTAACAGCTGAGCTGTGGGCGTGATCAACAATGCATGATAGTTAGAAGAACTATTGAATGGTCTTCAGAAATATATAGTATGATTGTAGATGTCCCGTGGCTCTAACTGTGAGCCTAAAACACCCTTTTACATTTAAGATGAGTTAGGCATGGATTCATTCCTAGTTTGCCCATTAGAAGTGCATACATGCAATAAATTACCAGTTGTGCATGCAGAAAACAGCTGCGCAGTAAAATACATGCACCCTGGAAGATTATATTGTCAGCCAGATGTGTTATTGTCAATATAAAAAAATCGCTTCAATTTTTACATCTCCGGCGGCTGTCCATATCGAATTTCAGTTTTCCAGAGTAAAAAGTAGCGCGATTTTCGCATTCGTTGGCTTCTGTTAATTGTCGGCATCTAAGCACAATGCAGAATGACTAAACGTGGGTAAGATATCATCTAACACCCCCCCCCCCTCACCCCACTGGTCTGAGACTATCGCTGCCTGTGATGGAAAACAGAGCTGACGTGCAGGCATCCCAGAATTAGCCAAGATGCGAAATCAAACTGAACGTCCTGGCGTCTGCTAATCCATAGCCGCGATGTGCCGTCAGCTGCCGTCGACATCAGCTTGTAGGGGTGACCTGCGGTCGACTGGAGATCGGCTCGCGGCGAGCCAACGATCGCTCGTCGTAAAAGACCATCGTTGTACGCGATACGGAACAATGCGACCACAGAGGAAAAGTGAAAAGTCGCTCGCGCACAAATCCTGTTATCGTTGTCGCGAGCGCTGCGTCAGCCTGCTTGTCACTATGGAGCCGACGTTGGCTTGACGCGCGCGAGCGAGGGTGATCGCTGTAGGGCCATAATAAAAATATTGTTTGTTTGCCCTCACCCGACCGACCCGCCAAAAAGGGGCCGACTGAAAAATTTTTATTTATCCTTTCTATTCATTTTTGTTTACAAATTGTATCACTGTCCGTTATATAAATCTGCACGCCAAAGCATTATATGTACTAAGCAAAACAAAACATTCAACATAAAGGCTTATCTACCACACAAGCAACAACCGACCTGCCTGAGCATTGTAGTGACACCTCATGCTGAATTTGTAAAAAAGAACCCCCCTCAAAAAATAATAAAAGCATACCTACCTGTACCAAACTTTTCAGCTGGGTCGGCGTGAGGGCAACAATAATTTTTTATTTTGTGGCTAATCCATCGATCGTGTTGTCAAACTACCATCATAGATATTACAACACGGCTATGTATGGTTATCTATGTTAGGTCTATGTAGTGTGTTCGTATGTATAATCATATGTTATATATATCAAGAGCTAATGTACCTAGGTATTCTTAGCTCTTGTATATATGTATATCGTATATATATATATTATATAAGTATTAATCGTATGTGTTAACTATGTATCGTATTGTATGGTATCTATGGAGGCGCGTTCACGACTGGGGGCGATAAGCGGGATGCAAAGCCTGGTTTTTGCAATCGCGATCGAAATACCGCGATTATGTACCAGTCGTAAGCGGCAATAATACTCACTAATAATCGACGATCAGGCCATCGCGCTCCAAAATTGCACTCTTTCATGCGACTTATTTTGAATTTGGAATATTTGCCGTGTTCGTGAACGCTCGCACAAATAAATCTTCGGTATTTTCTATCCATCATATCCAAGCGATGTGAGCAGTGAGCAGCGCAAGTGAGAGTCATTCCGGTCAGTGAGCATGCGCAAGTTCGATTAATATGAATTATCCCGCTCGGCGTATTAGCGCATTATTCGCCTGTGTGAACAACGACACAATTACTCTCGGTATTTCATTCGCGATTAGCATCGCGGGTGTTTTCTTGCTCGTGAAGCGCGCCTATGTATAATCTATGCAAATACGTAGCAAAAACGGGAGCATTGTTACTGTAAAGCAGCGAGCATGGGTAGTCATGTTGCTGTGTGGTTTTGTCATGCTGTGTCATTTAGTGCGAGCCCGTCACAGTAAGGTCGTGCCGATTACAGTGTGCAGCCCCACAAGTAAGGCGTGGCTCGTTACAGTGCAGCCCCCAAGTAAAAGGCTGGGCCCCGTTGACAGTTGCCCTAGCCCCCACAGTAAGGACGTGCCGTTACATGTCTGCACAGCACCCACGAGTAAGGCTAGCTTACAGTGCAGCCCCACAGTAAGGCGGTTGCCGTCTCTTACAGTAGCCAGGCCCCACAGTAATGGCGTCTGCCGTTATCAGTGCAGCCCACAGTTTAACGGCGTATTGCCGCTTACAAGGCAAGCACCCACAAGATATAGGCGTCGCCGTTACAGTGCAGGCCCCCACAGTAAGGCGCTGCCGTTTACAGTGCAGCACCCACAGTAAGGCCCGTTACAGTGCAGCCCCCACAGTAAGGCGTGCCGTTACAGTGCCAGCCCACCCACAGTGACGGCGTGCCGTACTAGCAGTGCAGCCCCCCACAGTAACGGCCGTGCGTACAGTGCAGCCCCACACAGTAAGGCGTGCCTTACAGTGCAGCCCACAGTAAGGCGGCCTTACAGTGCAGCCCACAGTAAGGCGGCCGTTACGTGCAGCCCCCACAGTAAGGGTCGTTGCCGTTTACAGTGCAGCCCCAGCCAGTAAGGCGTGCCGTTCACACGTGGCAGCCCCCAACAGTAAGCGGCGTTGCGTTACAGGCAGCGCCCCCAAAGTTAAGCGCGTGCCGTTACAGTGCAGCCACAGAAGGCGTGCCGTTACAGTGCAGCCCCCACAGTAAGGCGTGCCGTTACAGTGCTCAGCCCCCCAACAGTAAGGGCGCTGCCTTTAACCAGTGCCAGCCCCCACAGTAAGGCGTGCCGGCTACAGTGCAGCCCCACATGTAAGGCGTGCCGTTTACAGTTGCAGCCCCACAGTAACGCGCTGCTCGTTACCAGTGCAGCCCTGCACAGTAAGGCGTGCCGTTACTGTGCCAGACCCCCACAGTAAGGCGTGCCTCGCTTTACAGTTGCAGCCCAACCACCACAGTAAAGGCGTGGCCGTCTACGATTGGCAGCCCCCACAGTAAGGGTGTCCGTTACAGTGCAGCCTCCCCACAGTAAGGCGTGCCGTTTACAGCTGCAGGCCCCCAGCTAGTTATAGGCGCTTGCGTTACAGTGCAGGCCCCCACGAGTAAGGGCGTGCCGTTTACAGTGCCAGCCCCACAGTAAGGCGTTGCCAGCTTTACAGTGCAGCCCACTAGTAAGTGCTGTGCCGTTACAGTGCAGCCCCAAGTAAGCGTGCCGTACAGTTGGCCAGCCCACAGTAGGCGTTGCCGTTACAGTGGCAAGCCCCCACAGTATAAGGCGCTGCTGTTACAGTGCAGCCCCCACAGTAAGGCGTGCCTGTTACAGTGCAGCCCACAAGTAAGGCGCGTGCGTTACAGTGCAGCCCCACAGTAAGGCGTGCTCTTACAGTGCACGCCACAGTAAAGGCGTCTCGCCGTTACAAGCTGCAAGCCCCCACAGTAAGGCGCTGACCGTTTACAGTGCCACCCCACAGTAAGGCTCGTGCCGTTACAGTGCAGCCCCCACAGGTAAGAGCGGTTTGCCGTTACAGCTGCCAGCCCACAGTATAGGCGCTGCCGTTCATTCACCCCCACAGTAAGGCGTGCCGTTACAGTGCAGCCCCCACAGTAAGGCGTGCCGTTACAGTGCAGCCCCCACAGTAAGGCGTAATGTCCGTTACAGGCAGCGCCCCACGAGTATAGGCGTGCCGTTACAGCTGCAGCCCACAGACTAAGGCGTGCCCATTACAGCTGCAGCCCCCATAGTTATAGGCGTTGCCGTTACAGTGCAGCCCCACAGATAAGGCTCGTGCCGTTTTTACAGTGCCAGCCCCCCACAGTAGGCGTTGCCGTTACAGTGCAGCCCACAGTAAGGCGTAGCCGTACATGTGCAGCACCCCACAGTAAGGCGTTGCCCCTCCTACAGTGTGCAGCCCCCGACAGTATATGGCGTGCCGCTTACAGGCTGCAGCCCACAGTAAGGCGTGCCGTTACAGTGCAGCCCCCACAGTAAGGCGTGCCGTTACAGTGCAGCCCACAGTAAGGCGTGCCGTTACAGTGCAGCCCACAGTGAGGCCGTGCAGTTACAGTGCCCAGCCACAGTTGAGGCCGTGCCGTTACGTGCAGCCCACAGTTTGAGTGGCTGTGCCCTTTACAGTGCAGCCCACAGTGAGTGTGCAGTTACAGAACTTACCCACTGCCCCATTATATCTATATTCTGTGCTAGCCCACAAGTGAGGTGTGAGCAGTTACAGCCGGTGTCAGCCCACAGTGAGGCGTGCAGTTACAGTGCCAGTCCCACAGTGAGGCGTCTGCCAGTTACGAGTGCCAGCCCACAGTGAGGCGTCTGCAGTACAAGTGCCAGTCCCACAGTGAGGCGCTGCAGTTACATTGCAGCCTCCCACAGTAAGGCGGTGCAGTTACTCAGTTTGCAGCCCCCACAGTTAAGGTCTATCTACGTTTTTCTCCGTTACAGCTGCCAGCTCCCCACAGCCTGAAGGTTGTTCCCCGTTACACTAGTGCAGCCCCACAGTAAGGCGTGCCGCTTTTACAGCTGCAGCCCAGCAGTAAGGCGTGCGTTTATCAGTGCAGCCCCACAGTATAGGCGGTCCTGGCCGCCTTAACAGTGCAAGCCCACAGTAGGCGTGCCGTTACAGTGCAGCCCCGCACAGTAAGGCGTTGCCGTTACGAGTGCAGCCCCCACGAGTAAGGCGCTGCCTGCTTACACGTGCAGCCACACAGTGAAGTTGTGCAGCTGACAGTGCAGCCCACAGAGTGAAGGCGTGCAGTTTATAATGTGCCCAGCCCACCAGTGCGGTCAAGGGCGATGACAGTTCTCCAGTTGCTCCAGTACGCCACAGTCAGGCGTCAGCCAGTTACAGTAGCAGCCCACAGTGCCAAGGCGATGCAAGTCACACAGTGCAAGGCCCCCACAGGTAGAAGCGGTGCGGTGGTACAGGCCACACTCCACGAGCTGTAGGTCGCAAAGGTGTAAGCAGCGCACAGGTGAGCTAATGCAGCACACGTTAACTCAGCTGTGCAGCCTAAAGTAACCGATGCAGCCCACATTAACGGTACAGCATAAAGTAACCGATGCAGCATGCAGTAATCATTAAACCTAAAGTAATTATACTGATAATGAACCACCTTGATATTAGAGGATTACTAGTATATAATCCACTGACTTGCACTGTACAGCATATAGTCTAGCATTTTAGGCCAAGAGACAAAATATATCAGTGTGTCGTTACGGTTTCCCGACCAGACCTATTTATTCCAAGCGAGGGGAGCCCGGTCCCCTAAAACATTTTATTGTAAATTTCTTTAACGAGTAAAAAAAATTCGTTAAAATTATAACAAACTTAAAAATTAAAAAAAAAATAATGAATTGCAGTTCCTGCTTCAAACAGGCCCACAATTGCACTTCCTTCGGATAATGTATCTGACTATAAAATAAAATATTTCCAGCAGAACCAATAAATGTTCTTCCCTACCCTACTACCCTATCTTTATTCTTCCGGCAACTGTAACGGTTAACCACACATATATTTTGTTTTGCCCTTATGCAGATATAGTATCTGATTAATCATGTAATGATAGTGTCAGATTATAGTATGCAGACAGATATAGTTGAGGTCTGTGTGGGTGTTACAGGTAGTCCGTGAGCACGCTGCCGTTAGAAGATGAAGTTCAGGAAGGAGCCGGTGGAGGACTACTATCAGATGTGCGATGACATCGGCAGTGGACATTTCGCGACCGTCCGAAAGTGTCAGGACAGGGTCACCGGCCAAGATTACGCAGGTTGGTCACCACCTTCGATTGTCACGTACGGAATCGGCCGCATCGAGAAGTGTGACGGTGTTTCTGACGCACGAACTGATTCATGTCTACAGTGTGAAGCGAGCGGAAAGTGGTTTGAATCCTTTACTCGAAAATCATTATAGTTGCAGCATTGATCCTGCGCGCTCTACGTAACTTGATTCGGTTTGCTCGGATGATGATCGATTTCGACGAACCTTTGAGCATGAGTTACGGTAAAAATCGCAGCAAAATTCGACGTGAATTTAGGTAGTTTCTGTTTAAAAAAATGCGTATTCTGCGTCCGATTCTGATTGGTCGTTGCGACGTTTTCCCTCGTTTTTCGCAAAAAATTTGCTCCACTTCAATGTGAATTTAGTTAGTTGCTAATAAATAAAAAAGGCATCTTCTGTTTCCGATTCTGACCTGTCGCCACAGCGTTTCTCCCCCTCGCAGCGAAATTCAACATGACTAAGTAGTTTCTAAGAAAAAAACAGTTCTTCTATTTTATTTATTTCTATGTTTTTTTGTTTCGCATCGTTTCTCCCTCCTCGCAGCGAAGTACATCTTCAAGAAGAGGCGGGTCGAGGGTTAATATCACGGTCAAAGTCCATCACGGGCGAGTCGTCAAAAAATTCGGCGTGAATTTAGGTAGTTTCTAATAAAAAAGTGAGTCTTATATTTCCGATTCTGACCGGTGCGATTTCGCTGCGAGGGGGAGAAACGCTGTGACGACAGGTCAGAATCGGAAACAGAAGATGCTTTTTTTTATTTATTAGCAACTAACTAAGTTCCCATTGAAGTGGAGCGAGTTTTGGCGAAAAACGAGGGAAAACGTCGCAACGAGCATTCAGAATCGGACGCAGAATACGCTCTTTTAAAAAAAAACAGAAACTACATAAATTCACGTCGAATTTTGCTGCGATTTTTTGACGTAGCGTTTCTCTCTCCTTGCAGCAAAGTACATTCTGAAGAAGCGGGCGCGTGCGAGTCGGCGCGGCGCGCGATACGAGGACATCGTTCGCGAGGTGTCCATCTTGCAGGACATGCGGCACGAGAATGTCATCAAACTCTACGATGTGTTCGAGAGCAACACGGACGTCATCCTCATACTGGAGCTGGTGACAGGTAAGGAGAGAGCGAGGGAGAGGGAGAGGGGGAAGATAGAGAGAGAAAGGGGAAGAGACAGAGAGAGAGAGCAAGAGCGAGAGAAGGGGAATGAGAGGGGAGAGAAGGGGAGAGCAAGAGCGAGAGAAGGGGGGAGATAGAGAGAGAGCAACATGGACGTCATCCTCATACTGGAGCTGGTGACAG